AACATGTGAAGAATTAAACACCATAACTGAGGGAGATTTATTGCAGAAATGCATTTAATTTTAGGGAAACTTTTACTATAATTCACTGCTAAAAGATCAAAAAGTTCTTTGATTACTTCCAGAGATGCTGAAAAGATATCTGATAAAATTCAGTTGCTCTTAACATGATAGGAATAGATGTATGCACATACACACACACCCCAGCCTCAAAGCAAGCTTCATGCTTTGTTTGAAAACAGAACTTTCAAGACCTGCCCGGGCAACTTGGCGAGACCTCATCTCTACAATAAATCAAAAAATTATTAGCCGGGCATGGTAGTGCGCGCCTGTAGTTCCAGCTACTTGGAAGACTGAGGTGGAAGGATCACCGGAGCCCCCAGGCCAGGCTGCGGTGGCCGGGATCGGCCACTGCACTCCAGTCTGGGCGACAGAGTGAGACTCCAACTCAAAAAAAAAAAAAGAGAGAAACCAAAAAGAAATTTGTATACCACTTGGAAAGCAAGAAGTAAAATTGCCTTTATTTGCAGATGAAATGATTCTTCCGAAAAACCCCAGACTACCGGAAAACAAATACTAATAATAGAGGAATTCAGTCAAGCAGTTGGGCCCAAAACTAATGTACAGAAATCATGACATTTCACCTTAGCTGCTATGTGACATTTCATTAAATGAATAGTATATGAATATAGCCTTACTATACTGTGACAGAGTAAATAGTTTCCAGGGGCTGTGAGGGGTGATTGATTGGGAAGGGGGTCCATGGGAATCTAGATCTGAGTGTGGTGACATGGGCAGCGCATACAGCTGTCAACCGTCATCGAACGTCACCCTTTAAATGCATGTGTCTCATTGTATGTAACTTACACTTCAGTTAGGCTATTATTTTTTTTGTTTTTTTGAGTCAGAGTCTCACTCTGTCACCCAGGCTGGAGTGCAGTAGCACGCTGCTCACAGCCACTGCAGCCTCAACCTGCTGGGCTCAGGCGATCCTTCTACCTCAGCCTTCCAAGTAGCTGGAACTACAGGACTGCGCCACTACACCCAGCTAATTTTTTATTTATTGTAGAGACGAGGTCTCACCATGTTGCCCAGGCTGTTCTCAAACCTGCAGGCTCTGGAATCCCCTCGCCTCGGCCTCCCAAAGTACTGGGATTACAGGCGTGAGCCACAGCACCCGGCCAGTTAGGTTGGTTTTAAAGCATACTAATAATGATATTTCAGTATTATTGTTGTTACTATTTTTATTTATTTATTTTTTTTCCTGAGGCTGGGTGTGGTGGCTCACGCCTGTAATCCCAGCACTTTGGAGGGCCAAGGCAGGAGAATCGCTTGAGCTCAGGAGTTGGAGACCAGCCTGGACAACATTGTATAGATGGGACAGCCTCATCCATACAAAAAATAACAACAAAAATTAGCCAGGCAGGGTGGTGTGCACCTGTAGTCTAAGCTATTTGGGAGGCAGAGGTGGAAGGATTGCCTGAACCCTGGAGGTTGAGGCTATAGTGAGGTGTGACTGCACTCCAGCCTGGATGACAGAGTGAGACTCCAACTAAAAAAAAAAGATTCTGAGAAGGAATTTATGGCACAAAAAGGGTGAAATATCCCTATTACAGATGTTATGGTAAATCTTTTGTCTGTGCATGTGTTCTAGTGTCTGTCTCCTACTACCCTACATCTTTCTTCCATCTCTATCTCTGCGATGCATATTTTCTTCAGGTTTATCTTCTAGTTCACTTAATTCTCAGCTCTTTCTAATTTTCTACTTGTCAACTCAACTTTTAATATCAACAACCTTCATTTCTAGAAATTCCACTTGGCTCTTTTAAAACTCTGGTCTTTTTTCATAATGTTACTTTCTTGTTTCAATACTTCTGTCTTTAATCTGTTTCAAGAAGCTTATGTTTTGTTTTTTTTTTTGAGTTAGTGTCTCCTCCGCCCAGGCTGGAGTGCAGTGACATGCTCACGGCCACCGCAGCCTCGACCTGCTGGGCTCAGGCGATCCTTCTGCCTCAGCCTTCCAAGTAGCTGGAACCACAGGTGTGCGCTACCACGCCCAGCAAATTTTTCCATTTATTATGGAGACGAGGTCTCACCAAGTTGTCCAGGCTGGTCTTGAACCCCTGGGCTCAGGCAATTGTCTCACAGAGGCCTCCCAAAGTGCTGGGATTACAGACTTGAGCCTGGCCTGGAAGCTCATCTTCATGCCAATGGAGACCCAACCCTAGGGTTTCACATTATCGGTGGAAACTCTTTTCATCCAGTGAGGAACAGATGAGTTTCTCTGACATTCCCCTGTTGATGGGGAACTTTTTCTAGTCCAGCCTTTTTCCGAGGGCAAGCACTCAAAGTCCTGGGCTTAAACAGATCAACCTCTCATCTTGTGTTGGTCCGAGGCCCCAGCTTCTGTTCCATTAGGCATAAAACTAGCCCATAGTTCACAGACAGGTACTTCACCTCATGGGTCAACCAGCAAACCAGTCATGTGCTCTCAATCTGCTTCTCAGTTCTTTTCTTTTTTAGGAATTTTTTTCTGTGGGCACAGCTGTACGTCAACAATTATCTTGCTGAGTTCAGAAGTTCCACAAGGTTTAAAAAACAGATTTTTATTGCAGAATATTTCAGACATAGTTACTCAGTTTTAAAAGTTAACAACGCTGTTGGATGCGGCTGTTTTTAATTCAATAAAACATTCAGCCGGTGCTACCTTGAGCAATGGAACTAAGAGGGCGAATATTCAGAGCTGGTGCTGGACACAGCACCAATAGGGACATATTTCTCTTCCCCCTTGAAACTGGCTGGCCCTGCAACTTGTCTAGACCAATAAAGTGTGGACATGTGACACTGGGTGACCTCTGAGGCTGGCCCTCGAGATTTAGCACATGCTACCCATTCTTTGGGAAGGCTCCATCTTGGGATGTGGCTGCCAACAGCAGGGTACCTCCTCTCTCTCTCCCACTCCATCTGAGGAGGGTTTCCCACGTGCTGCACCTGATCTCCTACTTTCTTTTTTTGGAGTCAGAGTCTCACTCTGTTGCCTAGGCTGGAGTGCAGTTGCATGCTCACAGCCACCGCAGCCTCGACCTGCTGGGTTCAGGGAATCTTTCCACTTCAGCCTTCCAAGTAGCTGAAACTGCAGGCGCACACCCCCCCCCCAACCAATTGTTTTGATTTATTGTAGAGATGAGGTCTCGCCATGTTGCCCAGGCTGGTCTCCCACCCCTGGGCTCAGGCAGCCCCTTGCCTCCACCTCCCAAAGGGTTGGGATTACAGGCGTGAGCCACCATGCCTCCAGCCACGTGCTGGACTGGAAAGACTACAGCCTTTGGAGTCAGACAGAACTGGGCTTTATTCTAGACCTTCCACTTTGTAGCTGGGTGACTTTGAGCAAGCCACTTTCCTTCCCCAAAAGGCACTGAGAAGGCTCAAGTTCATCTATTTCTGGACACTCATTACCTGCAGGCCTGTGTGGTTTCTCTGGGCACAGACCCTGGGAACACATCGTGGGGGTGGAGGTGGCAGCACATGTGCTTCCTACCCACACTGGCTGTTTAGATTGGCACTTGCCTCACCTGAGCCACACATCTCACAGCTGGCCAGGGAGTAGCCATCTCCTTTTTTGTTGTTACTTGCCAAGAGTGGGAAATTTCTCTCATCGAAGCCTCCCCAACCCTTTTTCTCACATGGCCCATACAGTTCAGATGCCCTCGTAAAGTTTCTTCTGTTTGGGGGAATGTGGGTGTGTGGTCTGTCTTTAAAGAGAAGGCTGGTTTGCACAGGACAGCTATGCCGCATGCTGAGCACTAAGCAAAGACAGGTACAGGCTCTTGTTGTTTGCAGGGGTCTAGCCAGGCTGGAGCGACACCAACCCTCCAACTGCCCTCCTGCAGCTCCATAGCCCAAGGCCTTCACTGAACCCCAACACGGAGACATTCCCAGGTGGGCCATCTCCACAGCTGTGGTGGAGAAGCAGCCTGGGAGCCTGGCACGGTGGCTCACACCTGTAATCCCAGTACTTTGGGAGGTGGAGGCGAGAGGATTGCCTGAGCCCAGGAGTTTGAGACCAGTCTGGGCAGCTTGGTGAGACCTCGTCTCTACAATAAATCAAGAAAAATTAGCTGGGTATGGTGGCACACGCCTGTGGTTCTAGCTACTGGGAAGACTGAGGCAGAAGGATCACCTGAGTCCAGCAGGTCAAGGTTGCAGTGGGTGTGAGTGTGCCACTGCACTCCAACCTGGGTGACAGAGTGAGACTCCTACTAAAAAAAATAAAGAGCGGCCTGGAACTACTTATGTCACTCTGATTTCCTTTCTGGGCTGGGCCCCATGTGTCGTGGCAACTTCTGCCTACCAGGCTGGGGTGCTCCTGGCTGCTCCTGCCCAGGTGGCCCTGTCCCCTCTCCTCCTCACCTTGATCGTCAGTTTGCCAGGGCCCCACCAGCCCCATAATCTCTGCCCAGGACCTCATCATCTGCTGACCTCTGCCTGCTCTCAGGGCAGGAAGGGAGCCTCACCCCCATCCCGCCCAGGGCCAGCTGCTTCTTTTCCTTTGCTCTTCTCAAGAGACAGTTGTCCACAAAGTTGCATGAGCACGAAGAACCCAGATTGGAATCAGCTGTGGTTGTTAATCCTGCCTTTTCCTCCAGGACCAAAAGGGTGGGTGGGAACGACAAAACAGGGGAGGAGGAGGATGGGAAAGGGCCTTTGAACAAGGGAGAAACCAAGGCTTAGAGATGCTAACAGTCCATCCCAAAGTCACTGAACCCGTCAGCCTTGGAAACTGGAGGCTGAATCTGGCGATCAGACCCAGGGCCACAGAGAACCTCTTTTCCCTTGGATGTGTCTTCCTGAGCTGGAGACTAGCTCCCTGGGCTCACTCAGGTGGACCCTTCAGCAGATCAGGGAGATCTGGGTCCAAGAAGAAGATGCCCAGCTCTCAAGAAGCCTCCCTCTGGGGGACGTGGCATTCCCCTCAGCAGGTTGAGCTCAGCGGTGAGCTCAGCTCACTGGGTCCCCTTGGCGCAGACCCAGGGTTTTGGAGAGCTGCAGTCCACAGCCACCAGCTTGCCCTCCTCCAGGGCTCCACAGTTGTGATCTGGGTTGTCCTCATCCTCCGGGAGTCTGGGGAAGAGTGAGAGGGGAAAGAGGGGAGGTGCTCAGGATGTGGGGCCTCCTTCCTTGGGCCCTGTGCCCATTCCCTTTCCTGACCCAAACCATGTTTGAGCCACTGCCCAGAGGCAGGGGGCTATCTGGAAAGAGCCTAAAGTAGGTACCGTGAGAATGCAGACTCTGTCTATAGGATAGGAGTGACAGTCCTGCTTGCGTGAATGAGCTGGGAGCCCAAACAAGGGACAGAGGAGCAAGATCTAAACAAATGCCGGGCCCTGAGCATGAGCATGGGATTGGTTTTCCAAGCGGCACCCCAGGCTGCAGGTGGCATAGGGAGCTGAATCTGGGGATAAATAGAGGATCCAGAATAGCAGAGGGGGAGGAGGTGTCAGCAAAGAAGGAGAAAGCCCCTGGTCACTCACAGCAGGGGCAGCGGGTGGGCCCCGTCGATCCAGTGCCAGCCCTCAGGGCCTCGCTGGGCCCCCACCCAGGAGTGCTTGATAACTGGGTATCTGCTCAGGAAGTCCTGAGGGAGAAAAGCAGGTTGTCACTCTTCTCTGGATGCTGGTGTGGCTTACCTGGGGCATCTGGAGGATCCCATCTGGCCAATGCAGGAGAGAATCAGCTAACCTGAGCTCACAGGACACCAGCAACTACGGATCTGGATTGGACGCTTGCTGGCTGCTAGGCACCGTGCTCAGGACTGGGGACCAGAGATGAGGGTGATCCCATGTGCCCTCGAGGGGATGTGAACGCCAATCACTGCTGAGCGATGCACAAGGTGTGTTGAGTAGGTAGAGAAACAAGGAAGCGGGGGTGGGGGGTGGGGAGGGCATCAGCAAAGTTGGGAGGCCACAAAGCATGTCCATGTAACAGCAAACGGCCTCACGGGGCTGAAGGCGAGTGCTGGGTGATTAGGCTGCAGGTTAATCTGCCTGGAAGTGGATTACCAATACACTTGCCAAAAGGGCATAAATTACCCTGCAAGGTTCAGTGCAGTAGTATTAAGGCCAGCCACAAAAGGCAAGCATAAAGACCATGGGAAGTGTGGAGAAGAAGTTATGGTCCATGAAGTAAAAGGCTGAATCTAAATTGTGGCATGACCATTTATAAAAAATGCACGCTCACGGAGGTAGACACACAAGGAACAGCGACCAAAGCAAGGATGCTTGAGAGCTATCACGGATAATTTGTTTTCCTTTTAAATATTTGTCCCGGTCAGGCTCAGTGGTTCTCTACTATAACCCCAGCATTTTGGAAGGTCAAGGTGGGAGAATTGCTTGAGCCGAGGACTTCAAGACCAGCCACCTAGGCAACATAGCAAGCCCTTGTCTCTTCAAAAAAATCAAAAAGCCAGGTATGGTGGTGCACACCTGTAGTCCCAGCTACTCAGGAGGCTGAGGCAGAAGGATCACCTGAGCCCAGGAGGTTGAGGCTACAATGAGCCATGATCGTACTACTGCACTACAGCCTAGGTGACAGAGTGAGACCCTAAATCAATCAACCAACCAGTCAATCAATCAGTAGATATTTGTCCTGGTGTTATTTTTAACAATGAACTAAAGCAAAAGAAGGAAATGTTTTAAAATATATTTAAGATTTTTTAACTTGGAAAAAATGTTTAAATATTGTAAGTCCCGGTAAGTCCTAGTGTTCAGTCTTTCTGGAACATAACTTGATGCTATATAACAGGAACAGCATCACCAGTCCTATCGCTCGAATGGGTGATTTCACTGTGAGGAATACATCCAAGAATATAAAGGGGGAGAAAATGAACTTATTCAAAGATAACACAGTGCAGTTTATAAAGAAAAAGTGGAAACTACCCAAATGCTCAGCAATTGAGAAATAACGAGGCAAATTATGGAATGCCAACGTGATGGAAAATTGCAGTACTATTAAACATGACAAGTGCACAGACAATGTAGTTACACAGGAAAACATAAATATAAAATCAAGCCAAATTAGAGAAGAAGCAGCCTACACATGCAAACCCACATTGCTCACAGCATCAGGAAGCAGAGTTACATGGAGGCAGATTAGGAGTATGGGTATAAATGAATCCGGCACATGCTCCATTCTTCTTTCCTGTGCAGTTGTTTAAGTTGACAAAGACGAAACCTCTATAAATAAACCCTGGGAACTGGAACAGAAGCTCTTGGGTGATGGCTTGATGCCACCCCATCCTTCAGGTCTCAGCTTAAAGGTCATGTCCAGTAGGGAGTCTGGGCTGACCCCCTTCAAGGTGAGCTAGGTTCCTCCTTCCCCTGGGCTCCCATAACCTTCACAGAATAGAAATGATGGACTCCCCCGCTACCATTTTTTGGGAGATGGTGTGTCCCTTTTGTACCCAGGCTGGGCTCAAACCCCTGGGCTCAAGTGGTCTGCCAGCCTCAGCCTCCTGAGTAGGTAGCACTACAGGTATGAGCCACCACATCTTTTAATGTCTTGCTTCTGTGTCAGTTTATTGTAATAGACAGTGAACTTGGTGAGGACAGGGAGCTTGTCTTATTCCCCATTGTACCGTGAGAGTCTGGCACACAGTAGGACAGCTCAACAAAACTGCCTCCCTGTGCTCACTGCCAATGATCAGCAAGGGATACAGGGAACACACGCCCTCAGGTCACTATGTGCACCAGATGCATCAATGCAGACCCATCTTCTGTCCCTCAAGGCTCGCACCAGCCAGTCCACAGCTGAGACAGAAGCCAGGAGCAACTTCCAGGCTGAAGGTTGTTAATCCCACTCTTCTTGAATCCCACAGTCCAGACAGCATATGAAAACAGAGTGACGCGTGGGCAGAACAGAGCAAGTGCACATCCAGCCTTTCCTCGGCTGGTCCTGCAGGACAGGATGCCACAGGCGGGCCTAATGGTGGGGCTGGGTGGGGAGCCCTGGAGAGGATGAGAAGGACCCGGAGCTGCACTGAGGGGTGAGTCAGAGGAGAGGGCATCATCCTCCTGAGAGTAGTCAGCTGGCTGTTAGGGAAAGCTCACCAAGGTTTAGGGTTCCTCCCAGGTCCGAGACTGGACATTGCTACACAGAGACAGCTTTGGAGCTAGGTTGCCCCACATGCAAATTCTGCTGCCTTGACTTGTACGTCATGTGACCTTAGGCAAGTTACTCAACCTTTCAGAGCTCCAGTGTGGTCCTCTGTAAAATGGGAGAATGTTTGTCATGAGACTTGAGATAATATTATAAAGCCAACAGCACATAGTACACACTCATTTAATGTCCTCCTGTCTCTGGCGTGTGGTGGGCAAGGTGCTGTGCTCCAACTCCAATACACACGAGATCATTTGGTGTTCACAGCAACTCCCAGAGGATGCTGCCCTTGTGTCTGAGACCCAGGCCACCTGGCTCTCCCTTCCTTCCCCTCTGGGCCTCCTGGGGACAGGAGCTGAAGGCCTGTCAGCCCTCACCCCATTCCCTTGCTTTTTTGAGTCAGTCTCAGGTTTCACCAAGGCTGGAGTGCAGAGGCATGATCATGACTTGCCACAGCCACGACCTCCAGGGCTCAGGCGATCCTTCTTACTGGGACTACAGGCATGCCACTAGGTCTAGCTCAAGTTTTTGACTTTTTGTAGAGACAAGGTCTCGCTATGTTGCTCAGGCTGGTCTTGAAATCCTGGGCTCAAGCAATCCACCCACCTCACCCTCCCAAAGTGCTGGGATTATAGGCATGAGCCACTGTGCCCAGCCCGCTTTTTCTATTCCTTGCAGTTCAGACTCCTGTTCTCACTGTTAGCAAAAAAATATGGTGTAGGGAAGGCACTGTCCAGAGTTATAAATAAATTCCAGGGACTTCTGAGTGATTTATGACTCCAAGGACTGCTATCTCATGATGGGGCAAGGGACCCTGGGGCCTCCGCTGCCTTAAGCTGCAGCTTCTCCCACTTTTGCCACCAATGTGGGCAGCAGGAATGTGATTCTGAGCAGAATGGACAGGACATATCGTGTTTTACATCTTAAAATTACAGTAAATTATTTTCTATGCCTTCATACATTTCTTTTTTTAAATTGTGGTACAAGACTTATAATGTGAAATTTACCATGTTAAGCATACAATTCGAGGGCACTAGGTACATCCAAGCTATTGTGCAACCATCATCACCATCCATCTCCAGAACTTTTCATCTTCCCAAGTTGAAGTCCTATCCCCACTTAACAACAACTCTCCATTCCTGCTTCCCCCAGCCCCTGGCCACCACCATTCCACTTTCCATCTCATGCACTTCTGTTTTAATATTAAAATGTTCCAGCCAGGCTCAGTGGCTCAGCCTGTAGTCCCAGCGCTTTGGGAGGCCAAGGCAAGTGGATTGCCTGAGCCTGCGAGTTCGAGGCCAGCCCAGGCAACTTGGCGAGATCTTGTCTCTACCAAAAATAAAAAATTAGCCGGGCATGACAACACACGCCTGTGGTTCTGGCTACTTGGAAGGCTGAGGCGTAAGGATCACTGGAACCCAGCAGGTTGACACTGGGGGTGCCGTGAGTGTGCTGCACTCCAGCCTGGGCAACGGAGTGAGACTCCAACTCAAAAAAAATAAATAAATATGTTCCAAACTTTTCCTAATCTTAGGATGTGTGTTTATTCATGCTTTAATCTTTTTGAAGTCAGGATGTGGCTCACATTCAGCATGTGCTATGAGGCAGCTTCCTCCCTACTCTACCCTGTGAAGCAAAGCTGTTATCAGGCCCAGGCTGAACGCATACGCCTGTCTCCTTTTTTTAATCCTAAGTAAAAGCAGCTCCTGGGAAAAACAAGTTGTGTTCATCCTGTTACCGGGCCCCTGGCCTGTCCCTAGGTTTGTGTTCACAGCTCCTGTGTGTCCTTACCATGCCTCTCACCCAGCCCTGGCCATGCCCAGAACTCGGGAGGGTTCCATAGCTCCACAATCACCACATTCTGGGGTTTAACTGCCTGGATCTCAAATCTCAGCTTCAGTCTTTTTGCAGGGAAGGAGTTCATAGACTGTGGTATGTTTTCTGCAAATGTATTTGCGTTTCAAATGATTGACACTGTGTGTTTTGCTTTTTGTTTTGCTTCTTTGAGACAGAGTCTCACTCTGCTACCTAGGCTGGAGTGCAGTGACATGATCACAGCTCACTGCAGCTTCAACCTCCTGTGCTCAAGTGATCCTCCTGCCTCTGCCTTCCAAAGTGCTGGGATTACAGGTGTGAGACACCACATCCAGCCTGCTTCATTTTAAAACAATTCTTTATCTCAGGCTTTGTTTGCAATTTGCCTTGTTAAAACTGTGCCCCCCAGTGAGAACCCACAAGCAACAGGGAGGCTATTTGTTCAGCAAGGTCCAAGGTCATTATGGGTTGAACCTGTCTGACAGGAGACTGTAGGGCAGGGGCCTGTTTTGCCAGCTTCCTGCTGGAAGATGCTCAATTACTCTGTCTCAGGACATGGAAAAATTATGCTGGAAACCCTGCCCAGCTCAGCTCTTGCCGCCAGCTCCAGGCACTCCCTAGGGACCCACCTACATTCCCACTGGCCTTCATTTTGTAAATACAACT